TTGTTCCGTATCTCATTCATAAAATTAACAAACTTATAACTCATGACTTTATTTACAAACAACAGTCATCTTTTCTAAGAAATAAAAAAAAAAAACATTAAAAGAAGGCAAAATTCTAGCAATTTGTAATTTTTCTGAAAATTGTTCATTCATTATCCAAAACGCTGCTCAAGGATATCACTGGAATAATTCTCAAGCAACAATACATCCATTTGAAGTTTATTATAAGAAAGACAATAAACTTGAAAATGTTAGCTTCATTATCATATCAGAAGTAATGACTCACGATACAGTTGCAGTTCAGTTGTTCATCTCTAAAATGATAGATTTTATTAAACAATCGACAGATTTTTCTAAAATTACTTTTATGTCAGATGGGGCAGCATCATAATACAAAAATAAAAATAAACTTTGCTAGTCTGTGTAGATTTCAGTCAAAGCATGATTTCAAGCAGAATGGCATTTTTTGCAACGTCTCATGGAAAAGGTCCCTGTGATGCCATTGGTGGCACTCTCAAGCGAATGGCAAAGAGAGCTAGTCTTGCTCGAGATTATGGAAACACCATAACAACTCCACGAGAATTATATAACTGGGCAGTTGAACAAACAGATAAAAATATCACAAAACTACGTTTCGAGTACATATCCACTGAACAGTACATCGAAATGTCAGAAGAACTCGAAGAACTATATAACAGCACAAAGACAATATCTGACACACAGAAATTCCACAGTTTTGTGCCTATAACTGGTGACAAAGTAGCGGCAAAAAGGTATTCTAATTCAGAAGATGAACCAAAAATATTTAACTTGATTGGAAAAAGGAAAAAATAGCATGTATGAAAATAGGTTTAAAACATTGAAAATATATAAATAAATGATATATGAAAAATCTTGTCTGTTTTCTCTCACATATTATCAAATTTGGCATAAGTAATAGACAACAGAATAAAGGAATGATATTTTTTTTTGACAAGGTCTACATGTCCAAATAGTTTTATTGAACTCTGAGAGGGTGCTGCCAATTCCAAATACGATTTGGCGAGAAATGCATCATGAGCCCTTTTTATATAAAATTCTCGATTAATCAAAGTGAACTTAAGTGCTGATTAGATAAAATTGAATCGCAAATTGAGCTTCATTGGATTCTGAGATGATTTTGAGCTTCACCGGTTTAGTTTTGTGTGAAAATGGCAAATAAAAAAAATCAGCTTAGACATGAAAAAGTTTTTGTAAGAAAAACTTGTTTTCCTTAAAAGTGCCCATCTCGCAACGTATGGACGGTTGGTAGTAAACATAATTACCTATCTTGAGGCAAAGTTTCATTCAAATCAAACATGGCCATTTTTTTTAAATCGACTTTAAATTTTAAAAATCGATTTTTTTCAGTGTAACTTTCAAATGAAATTTTTCCAGTATTTTTTTTTTCGATAACTTGGACAATTTCCTAAAAGTCATCGATACAACATATTTTTGTAGGAGTTGTCATTTTTCCAAAATATTTTTTTGAAAAAAATCGGCAGATAAAGTTTGGCCCTTCTCAAATGTTAGTCTAGATAAACTTTGGAAAAGCTAAGTATGCAAAGTGGCATATTTAGTCAAGGTCCACACATCCAGAAAGTTTCATTGAAATCTGAGAGGGTGCTGCCAGCTCCGAATACGATTTGGCGCGAAATGCGTCTATATCGGAAATACATTTCATAAGTGATGGTTTGAGTGCTTTTTCAAACAGGTGAAAAACACGAAAATTGTCTTTTAATATATTTGTTAAATATGTAACACATACTATATAAAAACTATATACGAAATCAACGGAAATACCATAAGCTACAATATGGAATCAATGTTTCTAATTTGGAAAAAGCGTAGCGAATAAATTTAATCTTTACATTATACTATCAAAGTTACCCGCATTATCAAAGATACCCCGTTTTACGGTACACGTTTTTCTGAGGCTTCGTAGTCGGCGTAAAGTTTTTTACCCACCGTATTCGGAGTGTTAATCTAGCGTAGTAGAGCACCAAACGGAATGTTATTATAACTGATGGCTTCTAAATTTATTGACCATTCCGTACGTACCGTAAGATTTGATAAAGAGAAACAAATTGTTGAGATATTGTTAAAAGTCTAACACTGCTTCTTGACGCCAAACTCGGCCTACGGATTCTAAACTCGGCCTAATGCATTGAAACGCCAATGCATTCACTTCGGGCTATCGGATGAAGATAAAGATTGATTCGGTCGGAGCGCTTCATTTGTTTTTGAGAATATTGGGTGCAAACATTCATATCACGCGTTCTTATTGACTTCGTTCGGTAGCATTTGAACTAAAGTATCGTACCAAAAGCATAATTTACCTGTTAACGCCGAAATCATGGATTTATTTGATGTTTTCTGCTTGATAGGCCCAAAATGGGCGCTTAGGCCGAAGTAGTTCTCTACCCTATGTGTAGTTACACATGGCTTTTATGTTTACACATATTAAGTATGTGTCTGACATATAAGTCATCACAACTGAAAACTGTAATTATACTAACTACAGGTTTTTCCGGTGGCCCTGGAATGGCGAATGTTGTCAATTGCCTGTTTAAAGTCAATAAATAGCCTATTTATGAAAAATAATGCATGTTTCGGTAAAAAACTGTAATTTTCCCCCACTATAGGTTCCCCAGGTGCGAGAGTCAATGATCCATTTCAAGAATATAAATAGCCTATTAATGGAAAAAACATTAAGATAGAGCCGCCGAACATTTTTTTCGTGAAAACTTCATTTGCCCAATACTACTGGTTCCCCTGGGGGCATCTCGCTGATCCCAGAACGCTGGTCAATGGTTCATGGTGAGACTCTTTATAGTGGCAGCTGGTAGCTGCGAGATCCCATACAGCGTTCGGGTCCTCACGCTGCCCTAGTGAAATGTATGGAAGATCTGTGGAGCTAGATGACGATTTCAGTAAAATTAGGCATACCTATTATATAAATAATATGTAGTTTTATTTGGTACTTGTCACGCTCACAGCTGCACATCAGAGGAAATTTGAACACCCAAAAAAACCCAAAATGTTCTTTAGGTTTAAACTAGAAGAGATGGGTGAGACATTTGTGAAAGAGTTTTGAAAATTGGTTGCGAAACCACCGAGGTCTAGCTGATTGAACATTTAGTACCGAGTGATTCGTGAACCTACTATTTGGAGTGTAAAAGGCTGATATAATGGAGTCGAACGAATACAAAAATCCGCACTGTACACACTATCACATACAGTCACATATATATTTAAAACTTCTGGCTATGGCTGTCAATAATTTGTGTACCACAAATGATGTCTATTCGTAACGTTCACGAATAACTCGCGATTTTCGTAGATTGACGAATAGTTTTGTACTATACGCGAATCACGAATTATTTTCGTTGGCATTGTTTACGTCCATACGAAATCAGTAAAGTAAGGTGGGGTAAAAGTTTGAAATTAGCTGTAAAATTTTAAATTTCTCAAAACTCCAAGCATTTGGAATCAAACTAATTCATTTAAGGTTTACAACTTTCTTTTACAGTATTTTGATGAGTTTTCCCTCTATTCGTTGCTAGATTTTTTTCAGAAAAGTTTTCAAAATGAACTTTTGCCCCAGTTTGCAAACTTTGTGCTCCATTTATGATAGTTTAGAGTAAATAAATATGTTTTAGATATGTGTTTATATATGACCACATTAGGTTTGGGACACGACTCGAACTTTTGCCCCACTATAGGCAATTCCTGGTCTGCTGGGGTGAGAGCAACCTCCAGGTCTGCTGGGGTGAGAGATAATCACGTTTACCACTACATCACCGGCGCCGCTAATGTTGATGGCTTTTTGATGTTATGTGCTAATAAATAAATAACAAAATCATCAGAATTAGACAACAAATCTTCTATGGTGTTCAAAGAAGCTCGTCAGTCGCTTTAATTAGAGTACAAAGCTATTGTGATTAATTATTTCTGCCATCTCACTACCCTCCTCTATACTTTTTCTTTGCATTAAATACTAAGGCTTCCTGAATGAATATACTTAATCTGAAGATTTGTCCTGTTGAAGAGTTGCTTAGATTTTGTTTTCTTCATAGCTTCTTCGGGTTGCGATTGCAATAGTTTCCATACACATTGATACATTGATGTCTACCATTATAGGCGAAATACTCTTATCTGCCATGGTTAGTTCATTATTTACTAAGATAATTCCTGCACACAAAACATTGCAACTTATCGTAAATCGTACGCGTATCGTTCTATTTTGCATGCATAAAATATAGATAATAGTGTAGGAAATTGATGGGATAAATAGTTGTGAGCCTAGTTAACGCACTAAGTCGACTTAGGGACGAAACAAGACCATAAATGCATAAATGTGTGCGTACACCATTGTATTAAAAATAATAATTACATATGGAAGCATGCATTAAGTACGTCACGCGAAATTTAGGGAAAATCAAACCTCCCTCCCCCGTCACATTTTCCCTATACCTAATGCATTGCTTGTGACACATTTGTAAAATCCACCTTCCCCTTAGAGCGTGACGTACTTAATGGATGCTCCCTATGTATCTCATACCGAGGTGATAGTACAAATGTTATCTAGTCTTTTCTAAAATAAAAAAAATAAATACATAGAAGAACTTACTTAAAATATGTATCTCCATTAGATTCATGTACCTAATTGATGAACTATTGTTGAGGTTTGGTATTTTTCAATTATTCAGAAAACTACCTATACACTAGATCCCTACTGTGACACTTACATCGATTTCAACGACGATGTAATAAAAAATCGATAATTTTACAGCTCACAGTAATGCCGGCATAGATACATTTTTCACCTTGTAAATTGCAACTTTTGAAAGTGGTGAGATTCGCAGAAACGAGCTTGATGTAATTAAAATAGATTTTAATAGTATAGAAGCAAACGCACTATCACATTCGCTGGATACGTTTGCAGTAAGTGCAAATTTCTTAAAGTGCACTCATCGTACCTTTCATTTTCGTTGAATTTCATCATTCGATCAAATCGATATGGCTGCTCCTTTCACTCATAAGGGCCCATTCCGTTTCTGGACAGGAAACACTTGAATATTTTTGTTAATTAACTAGAAAATCAACTTGCGTTGAACTGTAACTATAGCAAGTAGTGTCACTTCGAGATCTGTTTGATTCACGCTGAGCTACAAATCTAATATCACACATTAGTAGCAAATGTACTTGTACAAGCAAACACTGTTCACTGCGCTCATAGTTTTCATTTCATAGTATCGCTTCTCTCTGAACGTGTTTAGTATCCGTGTCGAGAATGTGCAAATTTGCCACTTATTCTCGTTACTGATGATACAACCGAATACTCTCACAATACTCGCTGCGATATACTTTTCGTTCTACTATGCTGTTCTGGATATATGGCCCCGTACGACATAAACTATTAATTGTTGGAATCTATCGGTTTTATAATTTTGGATTACTGATTACATAATTTTTCGATATTATATGTATAGAATGTAGTTGTTATTTAATGCAAACACACACCAACGAACTATAGCGATGTATAAGAGTAGTACAGGTACACCCAAAACTATTTATAAATCCACTTTAAGCATCATGCATTTCATAAACTCTCATATCACAGATGCATTGCAACGCAAGACCTGGCTAATAAAAACTTGGGTTGGTTTTTCAATTATTTTCCCTAAATAACGAACAACATAAAAACGCTTAGAACTGTTTTTCGACCGAATCGCGAAGAAAAACTGTAAACAAATAATATTGATGTATACTGGAGTCTTAATTTGCCATGCGCGTTGCAATAGAATACAGTATAGTAGAGAATGCTTCACGAGAGCATGGTGATTATCTGGCGAGCGGCGGCATGCCGTCAAATTCAGATCATGCTTGTGTTGAAATGTTTTCGATTCGTGCCTACTACTACTTGTAGTCACATACATCATCATCTTTTCCAGACTAAATAACTTCTCCAGTGCCACTAGTTAGTCTAGTAATCATACTTATACAGCGTTCTTTGATTATTTAATAGTACAGACATGGGTGATTGGATTTCATTAAATTCACACACAGATCTTATAGAATTCAACCATCTACACAAGGCATTCTTTTTAATAGATTAACTCTAACCCTTTAGTGCTTCATTTATTAAGCAACGTAGTATTTCATGATTCAACGCTACTAGAAAATCAACATTTTGAGGAAAAAATACAATCTGATCATTGTATTCGGTGGGCCATTATGCTTATGATGAAAACATTTCCATACACATAACATAATCATTCGCTTTAAAAAAAAACACTACTTTCCCGTGAATGGAACTTTTTCAGTAGTCTTGCACGTTTGTTAGAGCATACCTTTCCTTAGTTAAGCTCATATTCAACGGTATTTTCATTTTTTTTAAATTAATGTTTTGAATTTGAAATTTTTGCACAGATATACGCGCTTTTCGATATTTTGCGTATTCACAAGGTTGAAAACGTTTTTGGAGACGGAATTCCTCTAGAAAGTATTGAATATGATTCATAATGCATTTTCAGATGTAATCAAGGGCTGTTCATTAACTACGTTGAAAGTTTTTTCCCCCTCCCTCTGCGTATACAACGGTCCATACAAAAAAATTGGTATGGACCGTGGATATTTGCCAACCCCCCCTAAACGGTCTACGTAGTTTATGGACAGCCCCTCAGCAGTTTGTATTCGTAAAAACATTCCTATTATATATCTTTTGAATGTGCCTTAAAGCGAAGACAACAAATCAAGAAGACTGGCAACTTTGCCAGAATCCAAGCGACAGACACAGTGGCGCTGCGCTTGAATGAAGGTGGAAGCAACGCATAGAAAAATGAGCAAATACACAAACCCTTCTTCTGAGGATGTAATCTTTGCTATCAAATTCGTTCGAAGCATTTACATTTGAGCAGCAGATGACGCGATTGTACCTGTCTCACAGCGTTTGTATGAGAAAATGGAAGAGTTGCCAGTCTTCTTGATTTGTTGTCTTCGCTTAAAGCACAGAACAGATAGGTAACATGGGAATCAGAAACGGAGCCATTTAAATTTCAATTGGTAGTGACACCTAGCGGTGGAGAGAACGCTTTTTACACTCAAAATTTATTTACACTTATACCACTTTTTACCATTTATACCAAACATACCCAAGATTCATATATTGAAAGGTGTGTACACTTCTGTTGGTGCTTATGTATAGAGTGTCTTTAGGAAAGATGAGAAAATCTTATTTATTTTTTAGATTATATGATTGTTTTGAATTCTTCTTCTTCTTCTTCTTGTTCTTCTTCTTCTTCGAATTTAAACTTATTGCTTATTGCATATAAGCTTATTGCATGCTCTGAGCTTATGTCGTTTTCGTTTTTGCGGTGCAGCACTGGTGTAGTGTAAGCAGGAATAAGCACGAGTCTTTGACAGCTCAGATCACTTCCTACCCACAGATTTCATCAATGCTTCCTGCAAAAGCAAAGGGTAAGTAAAATGCTAATTGTGGAGTGAGACGATCACATAAAAGAAAAACTGTATTTATGATTGTTTTGCTAATTCTAGTACGATTATCATAATTCCGTACACTTTGATATTCAAAAACACAATTAGAATAAGACATATCCGAAGTTTAACGATAGGAAATATTATCATCAGCGGGTATTTATTTGCATCATGTTCCAATGTATTGTTCTGCAAACAATTAACACTCTAAGACTTCATTTAACCCCGTTGCGATAAAAGGGAAAGAAGTGCCGAAGCTGACATTCCCCCTAATTAAAAAATATCCAATCTTTCATTCATCCTGAATTCTCAAAACTATATTCAATACACATGCAGATCGCTCTACCTATAGGATTAGAAAATATCTTGGGTTGTGAGAGGATATGTCGAAGGAATGGCAGGGAAACTCTCTTTACTCCAATGGCATTTCTCATGGCCGTGTGCGTTTGTGTTAAAAAGCAAAACATCTTCCGTCTTTCATTTTTTATGCGTAAAAACCGTCGTCCAGAAAAAGTGAAATCATAATGCATTTCGTCGTAGAAAAAAATCGTTACATTCACGACGGATGACCCCATTGTTTAGGATTTATGAGAGGGAAAGCTAATACGAGCCTATCAGTCATGTAGCATATAGTAACATGCCGTCTCTTTTGTTCTTTCAGTCCTCCTGGTAGCAGTTAGGGAACATGCATAAATGACGTAGCATTTGAGGGGGAAGGTGGGGGTTTCAGAACTTGTGACCGGCCATGTATTGGATATAGCCAAATACGCTACGAGGGGGGGAGGAGGGGTCTAAAATTGATCAAAAATATGCTACGTCATTTATGGATGCTCCCTTAGTGGGACACTATACACTCGATATAGGCAACTCAGTGGCGCCTTGTTGCTAGTTTTCCCAGACTTTTCGATTCGCTGCGTGTGTAATAATATTTTTTGCATTCCTTTGCTTAACGCCTTTGATGTTTTGATCGAATAATTCAATGAAATAATTAAATAAATGTTGTCATGTTTCTTTTACATGTAACATTTGAATGCTCATCAGTACATAGTGGCTTTAGCATTTTTGAATCCAAGGTTAGTTGTGTACTAGGATTTAATATTTTTCTTTCAATCTGGCATTGCTGGTACTAGTATAATGGACAACAAGAATCGTACAGTACTATCCTAATATTTTGTTTGTGTGAATCAAATGAAAACTTTACCGTTTTATTAAAGTACGTTAAATTATTTTTTTACTAAAGATTGCTAGTATTGAAAAGCCAAACGCAACGGATTATAATTATATTATGCATGGACAGCTTATTTGACACATGATCTTTATTAGCATATTTGTATAGCTTTAGCTTATTAGTGGACATAAAACATTTGTTTCATGCTAAATTAATGGAACGCACCCTTATTACACTCAACAGAACAACGGCTCTCTAAACAAATCTTTACACTTTTAACATTGAAATCAGTGGTTATGTAAGGAAATTGGTTTAGTTTTGTTGCTATTGATTCGTGGAGCTTTGCTTATTTCTTAGACAAATATTGCATTTTTTTTAATGTGCTATGAAACTTTCAGAAATTTTGGTTGCAAAATAAGAAAGTTATTTAATTTTTTGAGTTTGTTGTTGAAGCAAAATAAACCGTTAAGAATTGTCTCCGAAAAAAGTGCACACACAATAACAGTTGTAACTTTTTAATCATCGTTTTCAGAGAAGATTATTGTGTAGATAGTGCAATTTTTTGACGATCTAGAAGGTTTTATACCAAATTACAATGGAGTGAACACACTTCTCTCAGAAAAAAACGTGCACACTATTCCAGGCCTCCACTGTTCGGTAAATTTTTGAACTACGGTTTGTTTAGTAAAAGTTTAAAAATCAGTGAAAAATTAAAAAAATAATAAATTTATTCGGAACATTGTATGTATATGTTCCGTATAAATTTATTATTTTTTACAGACTTCGTTTAGTTAACCCCATTTAATAATAAAAAATAAAAATAAAACTTGTCAATTTGACTGATTACTCACCTGTAACGGAAATTTGAATATTTTATCGACTTATTTAGATGTTCAAAAATTCAGTAAAATTCTACCGGTCTCATATATATAATCAGCGGTTGCAAGAAAATTAGTGGATCATTGATGCTTTTGATTTGGGTCTTACCTATTTTTGCAGGTGAATGAGATGTAATTCAAAATATTGTGCAGTTTCTTTCATGTTTTATAGTTTTATAATCTGTAACTTGAACAAAGAACATACCGAATTAATAAAACATAGTAAAATGTACTATTTTGCACTTGTAATGGGAATGTGTTATGGTCAAAATATAGGGGTGAAAATTATCTCAGAAATTCATAAAAATATAATTTGAAAAATATTTTCCATGAAAATTGAGAAAAGTTGCAAAGAAAAACCGAAAGAACCATTTTCTAAGTAATCAATTTTTTTCAATATTTTTTCGAAGGATAAGTGTGACAGTTTTTAACCCTAGTTGTCATCTAATTGGCCCTATTTTGAATTTCAGATTTTTTCATTCATTATATTATTTATTTCGCTACAATGTTAGAGCACAAAACTGGAGCATTAGTTTTAAAACTGACACACTTACCCTACTTGAAGATTTCTTATCTTTCACTGGTGAAAACTTCAGGATGGATTCTCTTATTTTTTTGTGTTAAGATCAAAAATCTAACTAATTGAAAATTTGAATATAAAACATTATTTTTACAATGCCACCCTCAAGGCAAAATTGCAAAGCAAGTGACGAATGTAAAAATCCGTAAACTTGTGGGCAAAGTTTCTAAAAAAAATCTGAGACTCCTCTTTGGCACAAACCTGCAGACAGATCTTTTGAACCATATCATTTTGTCCGCGTACGGACTTTAAACTTTTACGTTGCGTTTTCGTTGTTGTGTAGTTGAATTGAACAAATAATACACCAATTGTTTGACCATACCTTGACCGAACCTTATTATTATTATCATACAGAGTCTGAACAGTAAGTAGCATAGTTGTACATACATACATAGTTGTTACACAAACACATTTGCAATCACCTTAATTAAAAACGAGACATTTCACCAACATCCCATCAAATATGTTTTTAATTGGTTCAAACAAATTGTGATACTAATAGTAATTTAATGCAAAGCAATGTAATACCCTATTCACGTATTCCAACAAAACCGCTAGAATTGCGTCAA